AACCATAACAAAGTGAAAAACTGGCCTCCTTGTCCAAGCTGTTGAAGATGATAATTTTTGTCCCCCTTTAATTGCTGCAAACCCCAACATGCCCAACCACAAGGATCTCAGCCTTTCCCATCCCAAGAAGTTTCTCACAAATTTTTGTACAAGTAGTATCCGGTGTAGACCGTAAATGAACATTTTGAAATCATGGATCAAGTTTCCTAACAGGGTATCCGAAAGAGAGATGGACAACGCCCAAGGGCACATGAGGAGTAGATACGTCATGCAATGGGACAAAGTCCTGCATGTTTCCATAATTTGGTTTTCATGTCTAAAGGAGTTAGCACCTTGTTGGTCAGTAATATTCAACTCCAAATGGTAGCAAATTTCTATTGGCAAGTGAACAATTATGATTAGCTCATAAAAAGCTGGAAGATGAGGATCTACGACCTTCATGGTGGATATTAAGGTAGCTTGAGCAACCTCATCTAGTTTCACTACACTTGGACTACTCCAATAATAAGCGTAGTTTAAAATCGTGTCATATAGATTAGGACGTACAACCACATGAATCTTATTCATGTACCTATCGAATTTTTCTAGAAGTCCCACCAACTCAATTATTCTACCACTACAAGACAACATAGCAGGCTTATTTTATTTGAAGCAAAAACCCAGTTGGTCTAATTGCCCTACTTCTTAGACCATTTCTTTTGTTTGTAAAACCAGGGGTCAATTGGATCACCCATTCTCCTTTCTTGTGTTCAATTGTTCAATGATAGTTGTTGTTTATATACATCAATACATGGGAATTCAACATGATATCCAAAGCATTGTCCAATCAGAGGCTAAAATTGCAATGATTACATAAATCTCCAATGCTAGAGCTCCAAATAGCAACACTTCTGTGATGGCGATCATGGAGTTATAGTAGTGCTCACGATGCTAGTTCTCTTTCCTAAATATAGCCCAAAACGATCCTACCAACACAGACATAGTACAAACAAAGCTGATGGAGAACATAACACACCCTCGCTTGGTATATATTATGGATGCTTTTGTATAGAATAATCATACATAAGTCCTATTTTGACCCCCAATGCATCCCAAAAATATGTATCATTGCTCTTGAATTTTTCCCTCCATTGCACCTTGTTGACAGCCTATTAGAAGGAAATTTAAAAACAAATCTACCAATGTATATATTGCTTAAATTGTTTGACCAACTTCTGGGCCATGACTAGAGCTCTTACATGCTTGTGTTCGTGACCATCAAGACTTATGTCAGCTTGCTTTTTAAATGGCACAATGTCTCCCAAGTTGTCATCACTTGCTGACTTGAGAACCCACCACACTCTCTCCACACATTCTTGATAATTCCAGCCACAATCGCTGGGAGTGACAAATATGAAAACCAAGAATATTTTCTCCAAGACATAAGAATGACATAAATTGCCAAGGTAGCTTGAACGCCCATTACCATCTAGTGCCTTAACCACAACTGATTATCTTCCAATGAATAAGCTGTTATGGTATCTGGGCCACCAAGATGTAGCAAAAGCAGAGGTGCCCATATTGCTGGAAATACATTTTTATTGTTATCGCCCTGGGCATCAGATAGGTTGTTAAGGGCAACAACTACATATAGATCAAATTAGTTAGCAACATTGTGTATTTAATTAACTATTATTTTTTTTTTTGAAAAATAAGAAAAAAATTAGTACTCAAACCTACATATGGATTTGTGATCGTGCTCCTTAATTTTCATGTTTAATCTATAAACATTGTAAGTGGAAAAGACTTTGGTACACACTCCTCAAAGGGTGCGTACCATATGCACCTTATAATTACAAAATAAAATGACATAATTTCTAAGTTATAATTAAAAAAAAATTCATAACCGAATACAGAAAAGTCATAACCAAAAACTCAAAATAGTATCATAATAGAAGAAAATTGGTTATAACTAAGAAAGAAAATAACGTAACTAAGAGTGTATATGATATGGAGTGTGTATAATAGAATTCTCCTATATATTCTGGTTCCACCATGTGAAGTTCAAACATGGACTGCACAGTCCAACAAAATGGAAATAAGCATTTCCCTTTATTTATTTATTTTTTGGAGTAAGATTCCCTTCAGTCCAAAATCCGAATTGGAGAGGGCTGTTTGAGCTCGTGGAGTCCATCATGGGTCCCGTTTTGATGATTCGGATGGTTTATTTTGTCGGACACTTCGTGTATTTCATACATAAAAAAATTAGATTGATTCGATAAGTGCAACTTGTTCAATTTATTTAATGAAAAATACGATAAATTGAACAAATTATAATTATTGGATATACTTAATTTTTTGTGTGGATGATATGCATGAAGTGCCCAAGAAAATAAATGGTTCGGATAATCCAAAACGGGGCCCGTAGTGAGCCTCACGAGCCCAAACAGCCCCCCTACAATCTATGTTTTGGAATGGAGGGAATCCTCCTCTTTATTTCTTAACTTGTTAAGATTCGTGAATCAACTCAGTAAGAGAATACATTATTCTTAAAATTTGTTAAGGTTTTGTAATCAGAGAGGGTCTACAAACCCAGAAAAGGACGACCATAAATTGCACAGATTACAACTTTTAAGGCTAGGATTTGTTTAGAGTGAACTCACAATTAGATGATTAAATCAACATCACCAATATGTGATTCTGATCAATTTCTAGTTTTTATATTTGGTATTATAGATTTTTCTTTTTGTAATATTTACATAGGAAAATACTATACCCCTTTTAAGGTATGTACCATGTACTAGTTATGTTATTTGTGAGTTTGATCATTACAACATAGCTCAATATTATCATAATTATAATTATGAAAAAAATTGAATTATAACTAAATATCACATGAGGTATAATCAAACCACTCTTAAGTCATAATCAAAATTTTATTGTAACCAACATCAAAATGTGTCAAAACTAACAACATCGTATGTCATAACCATTAACTCAAACATCATAACCAAAGGTGTATAGGGTACACACCTCTGTAGTATAGAATTTTCCATTTACATATCAACAACATTACACATCCAAAAAAAATTAGAGTTAATTATCTAAAAGTCCTATTTACAAATGTTATAGTAGCTCATGTCCTATTTAAGATTTTTTGAACCAATAAGTCCTATTTAGTAAAACTAAGAATATTATGAGTTTTTCTCAAATTTTAAAACTAAGAATATTATCAATTCTACATAGTAATGTTCCAGATAATTATTTCACTAACTGATGAAAAAAACAGAGTACGAGATTAAATGTTTTTGCCCTACTTATTGATTTGATTCAACTATCCAATAAAACTGAGAACATTATCAGTTTTTTTATATTAATTTTTTTTTTAAAATTTTTTGGACATCAATGTTCCATCATCATGATTCTTTATAAACATAAAATTTTCAGTTTTGCACAAAAAAAAAAAAAAAAAAATTAAATTTTTTCAAAAAAAAAAAATATATATATATTTTTTTTTTTTTTTGCATATAATTTTTTTAAATTTTTTCAATTTGAAAGTTGATATTTTAAAGTTTTGAAAATCAAAATAAATGTCAAATTATCATGTTCCTTTATAGATAATCATAAATGATGAAAAATTATTGTTTGAAGGATAATTCAGACTATTAAAAATTTAATGAGACTTGAAGGTCCAAAAAATCTTAGTTAGGACTTAATGGAATATAAGTTCATAAATTAGAACTTGTGTGTAAATGTCCCAATAATTTACTTACAAAAATACTTCAAAAATTAATTATGTAAGCGAAATTTATTTAAGGGAAATTTACCTGTAGGTCATAATAGGTGGACTTATTGTTCAATAGGTATTGTGAGAATTAATAGCATTTTTCATCAAACACTATTAAAAAATGTCACTAATTGTTAATTTTTAGAGACGATTTGAAAATTTTGTTACAAAAATGTCACTAATTATAAGTTTAAGCAACAGTTTTAAAAAAATCATCACTAAGTATCAACTTTCAACAATAGTTTGAAAAATTTGTCACAGAAAAACGTCACTTGCTGTAAGTTTTAGCGAAAATTTATAAAAACCGTGACCAAAAAAATCACAAATTGCTATTTTTTGGCAACATATGCAAAAAATTACCACAAAAAATTATTTTTAGCGGCGATTTTACTAGTACTTATTTTCAATAGAACTTAATAAGAATTAAGTCCAACTATTAAAACTTATAAATAATTTATCCTTTATTTAAAGTGTGATCCACAATATAAGAATGGAGTCTACACCATGATGTCTTGTCTATAAGATTCTAGACAACTTTCTGGGCTAATAGCATTTCTTTATACAGGGAACCCAAACGAACAATGGTGATCGTTTCCCCCAGAATGCAATGCATGTGTGTGTGGTGGAGGTGTATTGCAAAATTTTTGTGTAGAATAAATTTGTATTACACATTAAAAATTTTGTGTATAATTTCTGGTGATAATGCTGCAATACATACCCCTAAAAAAAGGTGTACCATAATACAAGTTATGAAATCACTTTTTGTCATAACTTAATAGATCATAATCAAACACCTTTGAAGCCTAATCAAAGATCTTTACAACCATAACCAAAATTACAACTACAATAAATCATGATGCGTGATAACCAACACCACAATAAATGATAACCAAAGATTATAAACCAAACATCCCTTGAGATATAACCAAAGATTTCTTTGATCATAACCATAGTAATAATAACCGCAATATGTCACAAGTAAATTATAACCAATATCAGAAGAGATCATAATTAAAAGTCATAAAAGTCATAACTGGCACATATCATAGAATTTCCCAATACACATTTATTTACATATAAATAAATACATATGAAATGAAAAGATAAAACAGAGATGAAATCTGGGTTGAGTTGAGTAGCCCTCGACATCACAAACTTCAAGCAATAGAGCAACCCAGAAGCTCAGCCAAGCTGTTTCTTTTATTTCTTTAATTTTATTTTTAACATATTATCATTACAGCTTTTCTTGTTCAGTCTCATACTTGAAGTCGAAGCAATTGCTGCCAGTGTAAATGCCATCATCCATGGTTTCAGTAATTTGTTGTCTATCAGTAAGAGTGGTGGTGTCGAGCTGCTCGTAAGAGAAGGGAATGTCGCACGAAGCCTTTGTCGCTATTAGATTCACCCTCACCATTGTCATTGGTGGCACACTAACCTTGTACAGATTCTCCTCATCAGTTGTCAATGACTCAGTTTGTCCCCACTGGTAGTCTCCACTAAATTCACCCGAAAGCTCAATTTTTCCCTCTGCAATAATGAGTGCAACAGTGGTTTGGATGGTGGTTTTGACACCCAACAATTTCAATGAAACGTTGGAATTCCAAGCACGGGTCTTACTCTCTAAATACGAGAGCTTGACGTCTACAGTTTTGGGTTCTTGGGTTCTGTTAATAGCATCTTCAGTGGCCAACGTGAGGATGCTCCGGTTGTAAATCCTGGCATCTCTCAGGCCAAAATTGACATTATATATCTTCCTTGAGGTAACTGTTTCATCCACCTCTAGGTGTACCTCCGTGGAAATAATGGACACATAAGCACTGAGACAGTTAATCTTCCCATTGGCGGAGGAGAGTATCTTGCAGAGCTTCCCGTTACCCAAGTTACGGAGAGCAACGACATTGTTGCCAACTTTGGTCGGCCAAAGCAACATGTCAGATTCGGGGGAGTTGTTTTCTTGTTTTTGCTTTTGGTTTCTTCCTTTTCCTAATAAACCAAGAAAAATTCTAGTTAAAACGGAGGAGTTGTCGTCGTTGTTGTTGTTGCCGCTGGTGGTGGAGTCAGCCAAGATCCAATTCTGGTTGTTGCGCCCCCAGAATTTGCCCAAGTGATGAGACTTTATGCGAACACTTCCATTAGGAGTTGTGATGACCTCGTTGCAGACCATGGGATCTGTAATGTCACTGGATGAGGAGAGATGTAGATATCGGTGTCCCTTGATCGAGCAGGGGCTAAGGTATTTGCCATTATTTGCCTTAACGCCACGCACTTGGGTAGTATGAACAGTGATTCCCAATCGATGATGGTGTAGAGATCACGTTGATCTTGATCAAGCGTTGGATTTCCAGCGAATAAGCAGAAATCACAAGGAGAGTCTATCCTCCATAAGCATACATAGGAGCCAACTTTAACATGGCGAAATCGGATTGTTTGAGCTGCGACATTTTCATAGTGGGGCTCGAACAACGTGCATGACCATTTTGTTGGGTCTTCCTCTGGCTCGTCAGCACCAGCAACAATCCAACCATGCGTGGATGACCACTTTACCAAGTATTTGTTGTTGTAACAACATCTTAGGTGCACAAATTGTCCCCTCCCACCACTAGTCTTTGCCATCACCACTTCGTATTTTGTGTATGGGCTCACAAACTCCTCTCCAGAGAATTGGACAAACTCATGTTCCACACCATCTTCATGTATGTAGCGCAAGTATTTGCCATTGTAGTTTGATTTGATCACCACAAACCTTGGCAATGCTACTTTCTCTCTTGTAAAAGCGTTGGATTTGGGCTGTACTAATGACAGCTGTTCCCAATCGATGATTGTGAAGGCATGGCATTGTTCTTTGTCAGGCTCTGTTGTTGCTGCGAATAAGCATGAATTGTGTACGGTTGTTACCCTCCATAAGCATGCATAGTGGCCGAGCTCGACGTGACGCAATCGAATTGTTTGAGCAACAGATCCAATTGTTGTTTGAGCAGCGTCATAATCATTTACGCGGCGCGGCTCAAATAAGGTACATGACCATTTGGATTGGTCTTCCTCTGGTTCGTCAGCAGTGGCAACAATCCACCATTGGTTGGGCAACCATCTTACAAAGTATTTGTTGTTGTAACAGCATTTTATATGAACAAGTACATTCCCATTACTACTAGTTTTTGCCATCTCCAATTCGTACTTTGAATACTGACTGGAAACCTCCTCTCCACAGAATTGGACAAACCCATGCACCTCCCCATCTTCATGTATGTAGTGCAAGCACTTGTCATTCCAGTTTGATTTCAGCACCACAAACCTTGGCAATGTCATGTTCTCTATTGTAAATGCTTCGTCTTTTGGTGGCAAAATTAATGGTGAATCCCAATCAATGATTGTGTAGACGTCGCACTGATCTTTGTCAGGCTCTGGTGATCCTGTATATAAGCATAAATCACGTGGAGTTACTTCCCTCCATAAGCATGCATAGTGGCCAAGCTGGACGTGACGGAATCGAACTGTTTGAGCATCATCATTATCATCATCATCATTATCTACATAAAGGGGCTCGAATAAGGTACAGGACCATTTGGATCGGTCTTCCTCTGGTTCGTCAGCCCCTGCAACAATCCACTGGTCGTTGGCCGACTTCCTTACAAAGTAACTGTTGCTGTAACAATATCTTATATGCACACATCCCTTCCCACCACTAGTCCTTGCCCTCTGCAATTCAAACTTTGCGTAATGACTAGAAACCTCCTCTCCGAAAAATCGGAGAAACCTGTGCACCGGCTCATATTCATATATGTAGCGCAAGTACTTGTGGTTGTGGTTTGATTTAATCACCACCGTCCCTGACAATAATGCCATTTCCTCTCTTGCTAACATTGAGGATGTCGGTGTCAACAACACTGATTCACAATCAATGAATGTGTAAATATCGCACCAATCTTCGTCAAAATTCTCTAATCCTGCATATAAACATGAATTGTGCGGGGCTGCTGCCCTCCATAAGCATGCATAGTGGCCGAGCTGGACATAGCAAAACCGAATTTTTTAATTAACATTTTCAATTGATGGGTGAATAGCGCCATCCAAGAAGAGGACCTCAAACAGGGTACAGGACCATTTGGATTGGTCTTCCTCTGGTTCGTCAGCCTCAGCAACAATCCACCACTCGTCCTCCGACTGCCTTACCAAGTATTTGTTGTTGAAACAACATTTTATATGCACAAGCGGCTTCCCATTATTACTTGTTGTTAGGTTTTATTTTTGGCAATCCCGTTTGACAAAACTCCTTTCAGTTGTATTTATTTTCGCACTTTTATTTCAGTAAGGCTATGAGTGTTTAGATGCGAATCCAACCCGAATTGTGCCTTTCAGAGAAGTTTATGATGATAAAGCTTTCAAGATTGCCACTTCGCTGATTATGACGGGGATCGAGCTGCCCGGTCAGCTCACGGGGGTCGAGGAGGCAGCGCCCCTTGGCGGGTCCGGGGCAGCGCCACGGCGGGGTCGAGGGGCAGCGCCCCCGAAGCAAAATGCAAAAATGCATTCCAAGTTGCCTGTCCGCTCGAGCGGACATTACCCCGCTCGAGCGGAGAATCCCTGGTTCCAGCAGTTTTGGTCGCGTGCAAAAGTACTGAGATGTGTGATTTCGCGCTCGAGCGGGTTCTATAGCGCTCGAGCGGACCTCTGTTATATCACGCGCATATTTTGCTGAAGACGCTCGAGCGGGCTGTTGGGCGCTCGAGCGGAGATCGCGGGACAGATTCTATAAATTCGCGTGTTGAGTCAGATTTTAGGATTACTACTCCAGATCTTCTTTTTCGGTTCTAGGGTTTATATTTGGGGATACTTTGTGAGTTTTCTTTGATGTTTTTATTGAGTATTCAACTCATGGTTTAAAGAGAGTACATCAAAGGTTGTGTTTTGTTCTACAAAAGAGAGAGTTGTTCTTCGGTGGATTCTGAAGAATTCGAGCCTGAAGCTTTGGTGGATTCCAGGGTGGCTCATCGTAAAGACAATTCCGAGGTGAAGACGGGTTGGAAGAGGCACATAGAGGTTGGTTCAATTAGGCGTGGATTCGCTAGGTAATTGAGAGTATACCTGTGTAATTCCTTTAAAAATGAAAGAGATAAAGAGAGAGAGAGAGAGAGAGAGACAAAAAAAGAGAGAGAAACAAGATATGAGCGAGAGACAGTTCAACGGGGCATCGAGTTTTATCAATGATGGATGGACACTCTGGTTATAATCAAATCTGCATTGCAGAGGAGGATGTCCATAAGACAGCATTCAGATGTCCTGGAAATATTGGCACCTTAGAATGGGTTAAAATGTCATTTGGCGAGGCAGAGAAAGAAGTTGGCCCAGGCCAAAAAAAAGAAATGGTTGAGGAAGACATGTTCGAAGCCTTCATGGCTGAACAAACATTTTTGGCTGAACAAACATTTTTGGCTGAAAAGCTAGCCGAAAAAGACCATTCGAAGGAATTCGTTAGTAATGTTGTACCAGAATGCAGCATGGAAGATGCTTCCGAAGTAATTGAACAAGGTAGCCAAGAGGAGAAACGGACACAGCCACCATCCAATTTGGCTCATTTCCTCCAGTATTAGTGAATATGGTACACATACTAGACCTTTTATGAATTTTATGCGAAGTTGAGTGACATTGTAAATTCCAGTTTCAATTTAGTACTCAACTGCCCAGAATCCAAAGTTGTGGGAAAAATTTTGAGATCCTTGCCCGATCGGTTCCAACCAAAAGTTACGGCTATTGAGGAGGCTCAAGATGTTGACAACCTCAAGCTGGATCAGTTGGTTGGAAATCTCCAAACTTATGAGGCACACAGGAATTTCAAAACGAAACAAAAAGATATTGATTTTAGTAGTGCTCATAAAGTTAGAGAGGATTCTGATGAGGATTGTGAGATGGATTCCAAGATTACGGCTGCTTTTGTTAAACAATTTAAAAAATCTTTTTTGAAAAAGAATCCTAATATTTTGGAACCTACTCATTCTCATAAATCTAAAGGCAAAGATAAACTCAAAATTAATTCCATAGCCAAGAAGGAGAAAGGAAAGATACAAGGGAACTCTGAAAGACTCCAATGCTATGAATGCTAAGGATTTGGCCATTTTGCTAAAGAATGCCCCACTCGTTTGAAGAAGAAGAAAGCCCTCGCTATCACTTAGGATGATGAATCAGAATCTGATAAAGATGAAAGTGACAATGAAGATCAAAGTGAAGAGGGACATAAACAATTTCTTGCTTTCATGGCGGCTTCAGAAGCTGAAGGACAAACAGATTCTCCAAAGATGTCAGTTGAGAATATCACTGATGATGAATCCTCGGAGAGTAATCATGAAGAGCTTGAGCAAGCTTATGAAAAGCTGTATAAGGAGTCTCTTAACTTGTTCAAATTGAATGACAAACTCACAAAGAAACTCAAAACATGTGAAAGTGAGAATGTCAAACTAAAGGAGGAGATTTTCGAGGCCAGGATTAAGGATGGACTTTTCAAACTTCCTAGAGTTAGTAAGGTAAAAGAAAAGAAGGTACACCCTGTACACCCTGTTTTTACTTGTCATCATTGTGGTATGTATGGTCATATTCGCCCTTATTGTTGTAAGTTGCAAGGGAGAGTATATTTGCCTAGACCTAGGAATAGGAAGTTGGAAACCACGTCGAGACGGGTTCCTATTGCAGGGGAACGGAACCACAACGTCAAGACACCACCCAAGAACTGCAATTCTCACAACTTTGTTCGTACTAAAGCAGTTTGGGTGAGAAAACTTGACTTGTGTTAATTTGTTTATTTGTTTTAGAGAACTCAAGGAAAAGGGGGACAAAAGATTCAACAAGAGGAAAGACTTCTCAAACTCCCTAGGGTTGATAAGGTAAAAGAAAAGAAGGTACGCCCTGTTTTTATTTGTCATCATTGTGGTATGCATGGTC